TTCATTATTACTACTGATTACGATTGCAAGATCCACTTTAAAGGGGAAAAACTATAGCCGACCGAGCATGAAGCTGGTTTTCACAGAAGTGGATTGAAGTCGTAGTCGTAAAATCAATAGGCATAGGAAGCAGCGCAAGAGAAAATGAAGTGGCCCAGCAGGCGATGTGCGGGCGATTGAGAACCAGTCCACTGATAACAATGTTTCTAAGTTCCGCAAACTTCTCAAATATCGCTGGAAAAGGCCCCGCCTCCCAATGGACGCGTGATCCACCGCCTCTGTCCGTCTGCGCCCTAGCATGTTTGTCAACAATGAGGAGTGCGGTTCTGAACACATCTCGCTTTGGTGCAGTCTGCAGTTCGGTTTGGTGGGGGGCATTTTATTGGTCCCCTGCTGCCTCTGCCAGTGCCTCTTGAGTAGACCTGTAAATTCCGCTGAAGCTATGCAATAGCAAAAGCTTAGCTTACTCTTGACAAGAATTTACAGGTCTCACTAACGTAAGACATGTAATTTCTTAGGTACTGCAAAACAAATTAGCGAGAGTGCAAAATGTCCCTCCCAAACCGAACAGCGCCCTCATTTTTGATGCTTGCATATTTGAAAGTTAGGGGGTAGCTCGTAAATTCAACGGTTAGAAATTGGAACCAATACCGCGGGTTTTCATAGATCTATCCATTTTTCTCTTGACTGTCGCACTATTGAGCTCTTCCACATAAAGTTCTGACCGACAAGCTAATTCTCGTGCCCACTATTATCAGGCTAAATAAGTCCCCAACGGGGAAGCTTCATCAGGTTTTGTGGGAATTCGTAGATTTTTTCCTTTGTAAGGTCTACTGACAACTACGCGAGAGGACAGTTCACTGTAGCAGACTGTGCTACGGGTCCAATATATTCGCCCCACCGTGTTTGCGGATCGCACGAGATGACGTACATGAGATCTTCTTCACGGAAGTTTGCCCTTTTCTCTAGAGCGCTTCCAAGTGTTTCGGAACCGTGATGAATTCTCCGGAGCGAGCGCTGCCCCTGTCGCTCACCTTCCCCACCGCGGGACTCTGCCGTATTCCAATGGCTGGCCTGTTGCTCACCTTCGTCTGTTTTTCCAATCCCTTTACTCACTTTTGGACCTTTGAGGATTTTTGTTGCTTGGCTTCGGCGGACCGCCCACTACTTTCCTTATTGGTTCGACGGACACACAGACAACTTCTGCTTTATTTATAGAGTATGATAACAATATTCATGGCGCCTATCGCATAAGCAGTGGGACAAGAAGTGGTATAGGAGGGTATGTCAACCTTATTGGTGGGTGACAGGCTCACGATAAAAGCTGATGAGGTCTGATAAAGGACGTTTGAAAGGAGAGTCACCAAATTCGTCGTTCGGGTCACAGCAACAGCAGGACGTTGGCTCTAAGAAATAATTCAGGAGGTGGGGCGTGGACACATCCCTTAAAATCATTTCTTGGAGCCATTATCGGTCGACGAGGGTGACAGGACATTATTACCCGTGATAACGGGTGAAACGTGTTGTGAAAAAGGGAAGATCATCAGAATATGAATCGCGCCCTTCACAGCATCAGTGGAGCTGTAGTTGTGATCCCTGCAAACGATAGGGAGTGTGAGGGGTATGGCTTGAAGCGCAGCTAGAATGGATTTTCCTTAGGCTGTATCAGGCTCAGAATGGCATCGTTGATGGAAAGGGCTCCCTTCCATATATAGTGGCATGAAATGGTGATGGGAGTCATCGGCAGCTGGTGGTAAAAAGCGATCACAACAAAGCAGGGTAGGAAGAGGAGGGGCAAAAAACTGCAACGACATTTCCACGTATAGACCTTCTCGCAAGACACCTACCGAAGAGGTTTAAAAATGACATGCAGCTCTCCCTCCCCGTGGTGCGGAACCCAAACGTTCTCGCGCAGCGCCACACTGATCTGGTGTTGTTCTTCGAAGTGTAGAGATGACCTCGATGCAAACTAGCTAAACTTCCGAAAAATATCACTGGACCACTAAAAAGTACTAAGAGCGTCGATTCAGTGATAGGAATAGTATACAGCATGTAGTGTAATAGCTTTTCATGGGACCTTACTTGGAGCTGAAATTTTCAAAATCCTCTTATCATACAACAGAACTGCAATATTTATTCGTATTTGCATCCTCTTCAAATTCTTCATTCGCAAATTCAGATGTTGTACTGGCAAAGTGACCTGCTCATCTCACCTACGCTCTGGGGACCAAACCCCGGGTTGGCTCCTGCTCGAATCAACTAAGCTTTCTACCCTTCGGGGGGGGGGGTAAATTGGTAAACCCGTTCTCTGTCAGTTGTTGAAGCGGGTATTCGACAACAAGCGGTAGAAAACGGGTGTCAGTCCTGCCGCTCACTCGCTTCAAAAACTTGTGGAGAATGGATTTGGCACCGCGCCAGACTCATCCTGCCTGACACGCCCCTTGGTCCACAGCGAGCTAGGTCTCGCGGTTCACTGCCGATACCGGTTTGCCGGCTTATCACTTCAAACGTGTGGATGTTGTAATGCTGTGGCACAAAAATCCTGCCCAGTGGCGTAGTGTGTAGGGCACTCGCCCAGCCAGAGGAGCATGAGGGGTCGGGTTACGCTGGGTGTCTTACTTAGGCCCATAATGCACTATCCTTCCGCTAACTGACTTGTACAATGGCTGACTCTCTCAAGTCACTGTATAGTCCAATTCATATTCATTGAGCTTCTAATATTTTATAATATTGAAAAAAGCTTACCAGCCGCCATTCCTGTTTTAACAGCACACAACTGTATTTAGGGTTTGCAATGAGAACATTTGAGTAGGAGCCCAGAAAGCTCGGTGATGAAGAGGAAGCTAGCCATCCGAAGCAGCGACGAGCTGGGCCGAACGAATTTTTAGTTGATCGTCATCAAACTCTGAACCGACTATGGATGCCGAAGGCGAAAGGCAGAAGTGAACGATTTTCCGGTAGTACCCCTCTGTGAAGTGAAGACGAGTCGTGCGACTAAAAACAACGTTGTGCCATCTGGAGCCAATGACCTGGTTTCTGATCATTTACGCTCATGGACAACAACAGCGAGCAATCGCGGAAAGGAAGCTGCAAAAAGTGCAATGCTTTGATACATTACAGCGGTTCCTCCCGAGAGGTGGTTCTTTGACGTGACTATCCTTCATCGGGCTACCATTTCAGCGGTGACCATAGTTCTAAAACCGAACTTCATTCCGAACACTTCCTCACTCGCATCGTCGTGTGTTATGTCCTTCGATGATAAGTTTTTTTGAAACAGTTTCTCTGTTTAAACAACTCTCGTTCTTCCATGGGTGAGTTTCCTGAAAAGCAACCCTAATCGTGGTATTCTGATCCTTATGAGACTGGGCCGGAGGCTCTGCAACACATTGACGTGAGGTTAAATTGCACATTCAGTCAGGGGGCGAGACCCATCACTCGCAATATCCTGAAAACGTGCACAGCTCACGAGCACCTTTTTGGTCGTTCTCTCTCTCAGAATTCATCCGCTGGGTCTTAGGAAGCTGTCGGTTTCGCTTTCAAGTCCACGGCCACTGTACAGTGTTGCCTTTTCTAAGTGATGCTCGGAGAAGCTAAGTAGGACCTAGACAAAGCCTGCAAAGAAAGTCGGTGGAGTTAGAATGCAGAAATCCACTTATTGAAGTACGGGTTGAAGGATGGCATAGATCCGTCACGAAGTTCACGCAGGGTACTGTCCATCTTTTGAGATTAATTGAGACACGCTGTGGCTGTCACTGGTTTACCATTACCCAGTAGCATTGCTTCGCATTCCCACCAATACCACCAGAAAGGCAACACTTCTTCACGCGGATCTGTCTCCAATTCTGTAGATGACGACTCTCCTTGAATGATTCAGTGGAGCTTGCGGCGGAGAACGAAATCCATCTTGAATACACGCAGGCGTTAGCGCCCTTCTTCACCAGTGTGATCTTGTAACTCTTTTGACCAACGAGCTGTTGAAGTGGGGCTACTAAACTCACAACTCTTCTTTGAAAAGCGTGTGATTGTTCAGTGAGGATTATAGCGTCGCGATGTGTAACATAATGTTGTAGGTACTACACCCCCCCCCTCTTCCCCAACCCCTACCTGCAAATTTCCTACATTTTCCATTTCTTCACTCAAAAATTTCCGTCGAACGGGAATACATATAGCACACAAAATCACGCGAAAAGTCAACAATCACGAAAAAATTTTTTTCTTAACGGATAAGCATTTTCAAAACCGCATCCAAAGCAACCTGAGGCTGGGAGATATCAGCGATGGTCAGCAACGCCAGCTGAAGTAGGGAGAGACACGCGGAGGGGTCAGTGAGGTGCGCATGGAGGGTGGTCTCCCCCGCAAAATGTTCAGACCGCGGTCCAGAGGCGAGTGTCTGAGTATTTCGAAGCCAAAATTTGAGAAAAATTGTAGTACGCTCGCCTATCTGCTAACTTATTCATTTGCCTGTTCTTTATTGTACAGCTATTCAGATAGATACATAGTACTTCTTCAGTTTATCCACTGAGCTCCAAGATGAACTTTGCACGCACTACCTATACTCAAATTTCGTAACTGTTTACGAAACTCGTTTACGATTTCGTAACTGTTTGCGTGTGCGACTGTCTGACCGCTTAACTAACCCTTAAGACTCCCGTTCACTCCGCAAGTCCTTAACACTAATCACTGATACCAGTAAACCTGACAATCAGAAGGACAACTCCAGGGAAGTGGGGCGTCCTCATTCTTGACCCACAATTATTTAACAAGAAAGTTTCCCACCTACTGCAGCTGTTATAGCTATTTCACTTCACTATGCTATTACTTCGCCTTCTGTGTTTTTCTCTATTATTTGTGTTTTGTATTTTTTGCCTTTGTATTTTGACCGTACTTGATGGTATCAAAAAGTGTCGACGCACCTAATGCACCACTACTTCCAGATGAGCGACGCTATTTATAAGATTTTGAGGGATTTACATCCGTCTAATTTACGTTATCTTTTCTATATGGTAACGCCGAATGAGACCATTCATACGCGGCTGGAGGACATACCGAATTACTTAGTTGATCCGGTAAGTAATAAAGAGGGGAACTCTCTGCATCCGCGAAGCCTTTACGAGTGCTGATAAGAAGGGTCTGGGGCATGGTGGCCACACAGACAGAGATCCTGAGCAATGGAACTCCTATCTCTGCGGACCTTTTTGTTATTCCTGCTCTCGTAATAGATTGGCAACGAGTCAACTCCTTTCGACTAACCGTTCACCCCCCCCTCCTCTCTCCTAGCGATCAAAATACGATTGTGCAACTATTTCGCCGAAGGCTTTTAAGTATGAATTCCAGATTTCGACATGGACGTTCGTGTTGGTTTTCTTGGAGTTGCTGATACTCGATGAGAAGACGTATGCGTTTAACGACCACGTCACGTCTATAAATTCCGGAATGATGTATATCCTCTTAAAGTGAATTTATTTTCTGAATATTTTCTGGACATCACGATAACTCGCGAAGCTGTCATTGTTGAGCTGCGGGATCCATACACTGATGCTTCTGTGCCTACCATCCACTGACTGTCGTGGTTGTCCAGCTCCAAATTCGGTTTCTATAGATTTTCAGTGATTCGCTGTCGCCTGCGCCTCGCGATCTCTTCAGACAAATCTCAATATAGAAGAAGTCCAAGCACCACGCGCACGGTGTAGCGGGGAAGTTACAGATGGAAGCCGGTACAGCTTACACTCCTGTCTGCTCGAACCGGAAATATTCTCCCCATCTCCGAGATATTAAAATATATCTCTGGCTAATGTAACAGTTATGAATAGGAGATACATACAGCACTTTATAGCTGATAACGTAGCAGTCAGTCGGGGATAAGTCAGGATGGGCGGACTGAGCCACGACTGTCTTGCTCTGCCAGTAGCAATCGGCTATTGATCGGTTAGTGATCGATTGAGAAGGAAAAGAGAAAACGGTGGAAAATGGTGGACCAATTCTATCCCTCTCAAGACCTCCGTGACTGATCGCTTTGATACTGAATTGAGGTGTACTTGTGTTTTTTGTTGAATGACCGGGTTTTCTCTCGGCATCCGGCAGGGTACTCCTTCACCTTTAAACAAAAGCATACACACATGCACGTTCGCATGTACACTCCTTATCCCTGAGCCAGAGTAGGCGTGGCATTCGAATATGGCACGGTTGGTTATTCGTGGAATATTCCAGTCTGGGACAACTGTCATCTTGTTCTGTGCTGGACAGAGACACGACAACAATTGTGTCAAGATGAAAATATCTCACCAGAAGCATAGACACCTTCAGGTTAAGTTGAAGCATGCAGCCACGCCTACCCGATCTCAGGGATTTCGAGTATACGCAAGCGCGCTCGTATGTACGCTTATACCAAGGGGAGATACTATCACCACCATTACATGAAGTAAGGTTGATACTGCGATGCCAATTTATTTTTGTTTTTCCCTGCAGAGATTATCTTCCACCGATTCCCTTGCTATAGTCCGTGGCTTTTGCGGACATATATACATATGTACATACATACCTACATGCATACAGACCGACAAACCGTCACAAAAAGTCAGTGTTTTATAGACCAGAGTGATTACTCTCTTCAAGTTCTAATTTAGAATCGGTGGTCGTGACATATCGGCTTGGATCTATCCGATAGTGTACGATCGAGTGCATATCATAGATCTGCCTAACGATTCGGCCTTAACATGGATACTGTGCTTTTTCACGCAAGATTTCATGCTTTACATCGCTCATCGAGCTATACATGGTAAGTGCGCAGTAAGGGAAGTAAAGTGTGAAACCAAAATGTTGCCTTCATGGGTAGCACTAGTTACACCACAAGTCCAATTTGGCTTCTGTTCTTGAGAGATTTTCATGTTGAATTTTGCGAAAGACCACTGATGAAGAAGTAGGTGATAGTGGGATCGATAATTTTTATGCGACCAAACATGCCCACGAGAACAACACTCCGTGAGTAATCTGTGATAACTGTAACCTTCAGTCAACAGTAAACCGCCATTTCATCCTAAATAGGTAATGGAATCTGTCATATAGCAGTTTACAGTAAGACCCTAAACCTCAGATGGGAGTTAATCGCCGCTCTTGCTTTTGCTAACATA